CTTCGTACCAAGCGCAACCCTGCCTCTGAGATTTTCTTTCCATAAACACCGCGATCTATATAAACATCAAGCTGTAAATGGTGTGAATGCAGAGCCTGGGCAGCGTGGTGCTAAGGTAGGTGGGAATGGTGGGAAGGGGCACTCGACTGAGGGGGAATCTCGCACGGAAGACATGGTCCACTAGCAAGCTCGGGCCGAAGCCATGAGGGAACGAAACAGAGGCGTTGCCCTCCCTTCCCCCCCCTCCCCTCCCGTCAGTATTACTTTAACGCCAGCAACATGGAATACTGTAAAAAAGAACATCGTAAAATCGTACCAGAACCAAAGAATGATGAAGATCTTCTCGTTGAATATATTGATGACAAGGACACATTGTACCGAGTATTTCTGAATGTTCGCCACTTGCCGGACCTGGAAATTATTATTCGTAGGGAGAAGTACAGGCAACTGCAGGACAATTCCTATATTCAGTCCATATCAAGGTGTTGAAAGGGCGTGCAAATGGGCATAGCTATGGGCGCGGGCAGCGGGTTGAATGCTGCTCGCTGGTAAAGAGTGAGGGTATTTGTACAAGAGAGCGCAGGTAGCGCGAGAAAACCTTGGCGCACCGCGCTTCAAGAAGATTGCTCCACCCCGCAGTATTCGATACAAAGGCATACGCGCGCTCAGTTAAGTGCATGGACACGCCACCCCTCCCCCTCCCCCACACATAGATATGGTCTGCAGAAAGACATCATGTTTCTGAAACATTTATGTAATATGGAATACCAGTCGGATCGCCCGGCTGACGCCGAGCTCTCCTCCTTCTCTTTAGCTCGGCTTCGCCGAGCTGGCCTGGCTTCGCCAGGCTCGCTCCATTTTAACGGAGCGTTTTCAATAGTGGGCTGCTCATACGGCGATGTAGTGATCGAATCGTAGCAGATAGAGCAAGGCTTGGGATCGTGCACTACTTAGCACAGGCTTCTATTTGCAGCAGGGGTGTGGTCCGCGCCATTACGCCCATACAATACATAAATCTGTAGATATAGATACAATGTGTAGTCGGCCAATACAGGGCAGTTTGAATCGCTCAGTAAAAGAGCAGATTTCGTTTCCATTACCTGCACCGAAATGCCTACCGATGTACGTTTCCCTTTTCAATTAGCTGCAATTATTAACATATTAAGATGTATGATAAGCCCTTGTTATTCGTTTTAATCTTAGTAAATTTCGCAAAGTTCAGAAGTCAAAAGGTGCAATGAACGCGTGAAATTGTCACATTATTTAGCGTTATTCGGTTATCCTCAAATTTTCCCCTGGAAATTGCTGTTCCAGACCAAGTACCATAACGCCCCCCCCCCGTCAACAATCCCTTCATACTAGTCTATAAGTTGGTAATGTTATCCCTATTCATACTAGTTCGTATAATCTGGCTAATGTAAAGGCATCACCTGCCAATCGATGTTCCCCCACTCACATCATTTTCTGAAATCAACGCCTAGCTGATGCTGTGTCCTGCGTTATGAGTATGGTGACCTTACCGTTCTAACTCCCCCTATCAAATCTTATCAGCTAATATCACTCCCTGTCACCCATCAATAATCATCCTGTCCCACACCCTATACCATACCTTGGAATCAACTTCCCACTGTTGCTGTGTCCCGCACTATGGACTCGGTGACCCTTCCCTTCAAACGCCTCTTATCGGATCTTATCAGCTGATATCACTCCCTGTCACCCACAATAATGTGTTCCGTCACAGCCTCCATATCACTGCTTGGAATCAACTTCCTATAAAGTACTAGGGCCGGCGCTATGAATTTTTCGTGACCAGAACAGACAGCCCCCCGCCCTGACGCACACACAGACACACACACCACGGCACAAGCCCGATTAATTATATTTAGGATTATACAATGATCGAAGAATGAAATGTTGAAAACTCTCGGAAATCACGAAATGGTGATGCGCCGGAAGTCAATCGCTATTTCTCCCATTCTAACGCCATCTGATGATGTCCTCGACCATAACGCCCAGTCCGTACCACTGATACTTGTTGGTGCCGAGAAATCTGGAAAAAAAAACTTGTAGCATCATGAAATTTGAAAGATGTGAAATTAATGAGTTGCAACTACTTTCAAATTTTGTTCGGAACGATAAACTTCAATGTCGGGTCATGACACTGCGTGTCCAAATGCATGCTCGAACCAGTCCTTAGAGATCTCAGAAGCAAGGCCTATCCTGTGGTTGGCCATTAATGCTAGGAGTCCCTCGCTTCCAAGCAACTCCAGCCCCCCCCCCTCTTCTTTCCGCCACTCCAAGTTTTGTTTGGTAAGGGTCCACTAACACGACGTGAAAATGTCCGCAAAGAACGCCTTGTCCGAACGAAGAAAATGCAACCGGCCCTGTGCGATCCCCTGCCATCTTTCTTCTTCGAAAATAATGACTTTTTCTGACTCTGGGACCAGTGGTCAACTGACTCAAGCAGCCAAAATACGGTGATTTGCAAACTATTTTGCTATTGAACTTCTCGTTCCCAGTTTAACCCTCTTAGTGAACGCCTAATCGCCACTTTCGCAGAGAGGTGTGGGGCGTCACTTCTCATCAAACCCAAGTCGATTCGTACTACTTATCAAAGACCACGTGAAAAGGGGATACCACTGATGGGAACGATGTGGGAGGGAGGAGTCTCCCAGGGTCGCTGAGATGCTCCTTAGCAAGCTCTCGACCTTGAGTAAGACCCCTTTTCACGTGGTCTCTGATAAGACGGAATCCCCTTTTGCAGGGGCTCCGACATTGAATCCCTTTTTGCAAGGGGGAAACGATGTTGGTGGAGAGGGAGTCTGTAGGGGTTATACCACGACCGGGGATTAACGCTCCACACTCGCAAAGTATGACCGCGGCCTAAAACCGATGTGTATCATTCCAGTAAAGTGAGCACTCTACTACAGAACACCCAATACCTTCAAAACCACGACTTCAGCCACAAGAGAACGGCCACTCTATTCTAGAGCTTGATCCTTCGCTCAGACATGAATTCATATTCCTTGGCTCACAATTGGGAGGCTTCCGCACCCCCCCCAATGTCGTACTGGAGTAAGGCCGCATCATTGACCCATACAGCTTGATACCGTATGACTCTATGGATCTTCACTGTTGGAATGTTATGGGTTGGAACAGATTCGTGACCCTATGCCGGCGCTGTTTATCGACGGGGTTCATTTTTGTAGTATTCACTGCTTTCCTTAGCTCCGGTTTGATCTCACTTTGGGTTAAAACTTCGTGAACGCTTGTAAGCTTGGAGCAGGATCGTCTAGCCACCATCCCAAAACTTGTCAACTCAAGAAAACGCTACCTAGATGGGTCGACACATCTATGGAAAGCAAAATGCCCTCCCCCCCCCCGTTGATAAACTGCGCCCCCTATGCCCGTCTCAATCGCGTTTCAAACAGCGCACGCGCGCCACCCACTCTGGTTGACACCCGCCCACTATCTGCTATCCATCCGAAGCGGCCTTCAAGAGCGGTCTCCAGCGCCCGCAGTTAGCAAGAACGGGCAGAAGACAAACACACATCAAACTTGCCGGCAATTCAAGCGGACTCACTTGTTCATCAACCATAACTGCACAACGGCATTGACAAGATATAAAGCCTTTGTAAAAAGATAAACGGCTGATACAAAACCAGATGAGTACTGGTAGTTTAAGCAGGTAACTGTCTTGTGAACGACAACCTGAAAAGGTGCTCGCACTCGGATAATCGGACTTTAAGATGCTACTCTTCAAAATCACAATCCAAGGTGACCGTATAGGCGGAGACAAGTCAATAATGGTACTAATTTGGTTAACAAAAGATGTACCGAAACCAGGCTGCACTCCTGTTCTGATATTATGCGCTCTTTCACCAAGATAATATTCGGCAAGTTCTTATTGGGCTTGGTGAAGCTGCAGGGAGCAGAGGATGGGCATCAATCAATCTCGGGCTAATGCCGTTTGGACTCCAGAAATTTCGGCACCGAGCTCATTTTCAAATTGCCTAAGTCACCAAATCCGCTAAAAACTTGTATATAGGGGTAGTTTAACATCCTGATTACGAATATGACATTCACTCTTGCCGCTGGCGCTAATGGATGACACTACGATTATCTGCGCTCTGCTAAGGCTGAGCCCAGGAGGTAATCGTAGTGTCCTCTCTTGGCGCCAGCGCCAAGAATGAGTGTCATACTCGTAATCAGGATGTTGAATTACCCCTATATACAAGTTTTTAGTGGATTTGGTGACTTAGGCAATTTAAAAATGGGCGCGGTGCCGAAATTTCTGGAGTCCAAATGGCATTAGCCTCAGTCTCGCTCCCACCTACAACTACAGAGTGCCTCGACCGCTGGAACTCTTCTTTTGTGCGTCCTCTCCCTCTTCTGGAACCATAGAGAGAAGAAACACATCAAGGCGAAAAGGCAGATCTGTCTCCGCCCACACGTTCAGCGTGGACAAGGCAGCTGAAAAACACCACCAACCTTTCTCTTCTCCATTCTTCGTTTGAACCGAAGAGCGTTCTGCAAATGCCGTGCGAGTATTCCGATGTTTTTCTGACGGACTTCTTCTTCAACATTTGCCGAATCTTTAGCTTTCTCCACCACTTCGTGCATACGGATTCCTGAAAATATTCAAAAGCTTGAAAATGTTTCTATCAAATTAAAGGCACAGTCCACGCTGATCATGGGGGCGGTATCAGTGTTAAAATTGCGCCTTCCGCATGGGTGCGTCTCTCCATTACCGCATCAAGAACGAGGAACGCAGTGATTAAGAAGGCACCGTGGTAGGTCCGACTCCACCAAGTGCTCATTGTGGACAACTTCCAAAGCAGAAAAAGAGCATGATATTCTTGGGCGCTTTGTATACTGACAGAGCAGATGAACAAAACCGACTCACCCGAATGATTGGAGAAGCATTTCCAAAGGAAACTTGGTGCTCGGAAGAAGACGGCTTGTAGTAACAAGAAGAAAGGAACCCATTGATAGTATGATAGCTGTCGCTCAGGAGTATACCTGCGAGGGAAACAGTATATTGAGATTCCAGAGTTATATGAAGGCTCACATCTTTGACAGGTGAGTGCGGGCTACATGACCATCATAACCTGTTAGGGGGGGGGAGGGGGGAGAAGCAAAACAGATGGAGAAACAGTAAGAGTGTCTCCTTTTACCATAACTTTCGACTGTCGTGAGAGTTTATGACGGACAAATTCGAGCGCTTGAGAGAGAGAGCAGGCAAGGAAAGATAAGAGAGTACATGGAAAAATGAGAGTGGTATTTACTGTGCGGTGCTTGCAGTGGGTGTGCTCAGCTTCAAGAGGGGTGTGAATGGATACAAGTCAGAAGCCACTGAAACCCTTTTTGCTCACTTTGAAAACAGTACATTCTCTGCTTTGAGAATCTTATTTACGGAGTTAATTGTCCTACTCGCGCCAATTGTGGATTTGAACTTGGCGCTTCGTTCACAGCTTCTATTCACGATTTTCCTGTAGTTCCCTCCAGTAATGAGAATCAGAAGGCTTACCTTTGTTCATGTTTCAGTAGCTCCACATGTTGTTGAGGTTCAACAAAGTATGTATCTTGTGACCAGCAGTAGTTCTCGGCGTACTGAAAGTTCCAGTATTATTTTCTCAAGACTTTCGCTAACCTGGTCCATATCGCAGAAAGGGACGATTCCAAGTGCATAGCCGCGAG